GTAGATTTGCCAGATGGGATTTATTTACTTGGCTAGCTTCAGTAAACATACTAGGAATAAGTTAATGCCATGTTCCTGACCAGGTGGCTCTTTTTCCAAAACTTCTACCTGTCTAAGTAATTTGATTCCATTACATTATTTTTTAGGGAACTTTTAAACTGCAGTTCTTTGCTGCTGTTAAACAGATCTGAATACTGGTCACAGTGGCTAACCTCAGATTTATATTCCCCTCTCTGAAATGCTATCCAACAGACTCGGCCTTGAGAGTGTGTTTGATGAGGTCATCCTGGTGGATGTGATGGACAGTGAGGACCGCCTCCACCTTTCACTGCTGAGACGTCCTGAGCTTGGCATCACCTTTACTAAGATCCATTGCTGGACATTGACCCAGTTCAGCAAGTGTGTCTTTCTGGATGCTGATACGCTGGTGAGTCAGTTGAACATTTAGTCACAGGTTAAAGCCCCATGTGGGAAATGTTTACGAATCCAACCCACAGAACTCATTCTAAATGAATAGATCCTATGCTCGGACAGATATTGCACAAACACAGCATGTTGTACATGTACAGCATGTACAGAACTGATCCAACCGGCTGATTGGTTGATCAGAGTCTACATTTAAAGTTCATCTCTTGGCCAACGTCTCTTTGTCAGTCAATAAAGCCACATTTTGTCCTATTGGAATCAATGACAACACTGATGTTAGGGGACAATGTCTTGGAGGATGTTGGTACCATAGCTTCTATCTCTGTTTGGTCAGTGCAAACATGTACTCATGTCAGTTGGAACAGGCATGTTTGAAAACTGAACTCAGTAAACACAAATGGAGATAGTGTCTTTGGGTCATGCCTGCACTGACGCAATTCCTTGTGCAGTATATGTACAAACATATATATATCTACATCTGCGGATTTAGAAATCTGTAAATTCAATTTAGAGTTTCGAAAAACTGTCCTGTAACTCTAGAAACATGAGAAATGTGTGGCACGGCCGATATTTCAGCTGAACCAGACCAAGGTAAAGGGCCAATTGACTAGTTTATTGCAAATAAAGAAACATAACTTTATTCAACATGGGGTGTAAAGGTAGTAGCAACATAGGAGAGAGAGAGAGACAAGAAGAACAGAGCCTTGAAAGCCTTGGTGAGAACTCGGGTAAATGGCCTGTATTTATATAGTATACAAGAGAACAGTTCTACCATTCACCTATTCACATATATGTTCATACAGTGCATGTACGCACAGCACTTTCTTTATCTATCCTTATCATTAAGTCAATTCTGGGTTCAGTTTCTTGCCCAAGGAGTATTTGGCATGGGGAGTGGGGGATTGTATCACAATAATATTCCAAATGTACTTTCTAACACAAAATATTGTCTCATGAGATTGCTGTGGAGATTATATTCACAGGCAGCCTAGTCCAAGGCTGTGTCTGAAATCCCTTACTAATTGCTATAGTCTACTTTATAGTGAATTCACCATTTTATAATTTTTTTATACATTAAATAGTAGACGTATTGCTTCCCAAAAGCTCCTTCTCTGGGGATTATCTTATTCTCATCAAAAATATCGTAATTATTGTGAGGATAATGACTGACAGGTTTATTTTTTATCATCGTTTTGATTTCAAAATGGTGGTGTAGTCTCTGAACTTTCTCTAAAGCAGTGATCACTGATGCTAAATAAACTATATGATCAGAACATTTATTAGTGTGAAAGGTTTCAAAAGTGATCATTTTAATAGACTAAGAACACTTTTTTTTCAGCACACAGAGAGATATTAAAGGCATTGTAATAAATAATTGTTTTTAAGATTTCATGGGACCTTATTATTCTGCAACAATTTTTCTAGCATTTGTGTTGGAACCTCAAATTGTTACATTTATTGTGATTAATATTTGGGAAATCTGTATGATTGTCTGGATCAATCAAAATGCGTTTTGAGTGATGTGTCGAAAGAAATTCCAAACCTCAAACTGCCTTTAACGGCCTTCACAAGGCAATAACTTAACCTTCCATCCGTTTATCAACCCACACATGCACCGGCTCAGCATTCAAATGAAACTGTTTCGTGACACATCATCCGTTTCCTCAGGTTTTGAGTAATGTGGATGAGCTGTTTGAGAGAGAAGAGCTGTCTGCAGCTCCTGATCCCGGCTGGCCCGACTGTTTCAACTCAGGCGTGTTCGTCTTCAGACCATCTCTGCAGACCCACGCCGGGCTCCTGGATCACGCCCTGCAGCACGGGAGCTTTGATGGTAACACACTATTTCATTTTTGGGTTCAGACTAATAAGCAGAGAGCTGCATGTCCTCTACAAATAACACTATAAATAAAATAAATATATTTACAGAATACCTCATTGCCATCTCAAAAAATATAATTTGTTTCTTTTATTTCCTCTTCTCACCGCAAAAATAAAATAGTATGAAAATAAAGTGATACATATATAAATGAATCACAATTCTACTGTAGAGTTAGATTTGCTTTTTTAACAAGTATATTGTGATGTTGTCTTTAGGCATGAATAAATGGTGTTTAGTTTGTCCAGTCTGGACTAATGTAAAAAACATGGCAGCCTCCATAGAGAGGTATTTAAATATAAAGGGCCTTTTCTGAGGTAACGAAAACTACAATTCAGTAGTTTCAATCTTCAATTTAGATGAAATGAACTAGTGAAAACATCATGAGGATTATTCTACATTAAATTTCTGCTAATAGTTCCCTTTCACCTAAATCTTACACACTGGACCTGCAAATCACAGTTTAGGATAATTATTAATTAATAATAAAATAATTACACCTCTTATTTCAAGGTGCTGAAGGCAGAATTATATATATATATACATTATTTACATATGTTTTACCCAAACACCCGGCCCTCTCTGCTGTCAGGAGGGGACCAGGGTCTGTTGAACTCTTTTTTCAGTAGTTGGCCGCTGGCAGACATCACCAAACACCTGCCGTTTGTCTACAACCTCAGTGCCAGCTCCATCTACAGTTACCTCCCTGCTTTCCAACAGTGAGTGTGCCTGTGGCCATGTTTCATTGTGCTCAGAACAATCCTTGATACAGTGTTTTCTCATCGGTAAAATATGTGAACATATGTGATGATAAATGTAATTTGAACTCAGAGTAAAATTTCAAAAGCAGATTAATGTCAGACTTCACATGAGTGTTTTTTTATATTCTAGAAATAAGAATATTGACATTTTCATAATGTGACAGTGTAAAAAGCCCTATTGTAACATTATTGGGGACAGATTTAAATGACATGACATTTGATTTCACACAACTGTGGCAACTGTAGATTTGTGCCTCAGAATTTCCATTGTAGAGTTAGTGTAGTGTTTACAAATGAAATTGCTCACTCATAAAATTGTGATAGCTTTATTATTAATCAATAATTATATATTTTTTTTAAATCACAGAACAAAAGAGATCCTGCAAATTACTGCTCAAAGTCTCTCTACTTGTTCCTCTTGAGAAGCACGTTCAAGGAAATGTTTGCAAAGTACATATTTGCTTCAGTTTGCACTGACTGCAACTATTTTTTTTTTCAATTTGCATTGAATAGTCAAACGACATTGACTTTATATGTAACCGAACAGTCCTTACTTGCAAAATGCTGGAATTTCTTCCTGCAGGTTTGGCCAGAATGCAAAGATTGTTCATTTCCTTGGTGCAATTAAACCCTGGAGCTCCAGTCAGAGGGATGTCAGCCACTCAAACACCATGGAACAGTTTATGTCACTGTGGTGGAAGGAATACCGCAATCAAACAAAACCAACTCGACCAGGGAACCAGCCCACTCAACATGAGGAGAAACCACAGCAGGTACCAAAATGTCTTCGACGTCAAAACACTATGTCCCATCAAGATACAGCACCATGACAATGAAATCTAATGAAGAATCAGGTCTCTGTAATTTGTGCAGTGTGTTCATTTTGATTTGATCTTTAATGGAAAGTGGCAGGAATGAGAGGTAACAATGAAATAAACTACTCATCACAGCTATTGGGCTAACTTATATTTTACACTTTGATCCAAAGGCAGAAAGGAAGACATCCTCATGTAAAATAAATGGCTATACATCTGACACTGGAGCTTAATGTAAGAGAAATTATATACTGGAAAAGATGTGATGCACAAACGTTTTCTTTTTCACAACAATGTATTTCAGTCTTCTCTGTTCTCCACCTAGTGTCTATTTTTCTGGTTAACTTAGGTTAGGGTTGAACAACTCCTTATTTATAGATATTTTTCCAAATATATTTTCATTTACTAAAGGTTCTGTCACTGCAGTTTCTAATAGATGTTACTCAAGCAAGAGGAGATCTTGGATTTGTTGGGGATGATTTATTCAGAAAATCCAGTTGGACTAAGTTGAAATAAACTACAGTTTAAGGTACACGTTGATGAAAGACCATGACAACCATTGTGGCTCCCTGATGTATTTTTAATCTGCAGTCAGAAAAGAAACGTGAGAATCATGCTTTTCCTTATTTCCTGTCATATACATGACATGTATGTTATATATAATGTCAGATGTTTAATTTTAAACACAATTAAGGTTTTATAGAAACATAAACACGTGTATGGGCGGCTGTGACTACATTCCAAGGATACGGAACCCCGAATGGCCCTCTCATAGAAAAAGTGCTGCCCATAGCTGCTGATAATATAAGATAACAGTGCTATACAGTTGTTTGGTGACAGCACAATAACATTTTACTATTGTTTTTGTATTTCAATCAGGAGAGACTATTATTGATAATTAAGCAAAATTCCATAAACATGAACAACAAGATGAGGAATGGAGAGTATTTGGAAAGGGGATGAGGCTGTGCATAGTGTAGGAAACCCCCTCTAGATACTGATGGTTGTTGTGATGGGACAGAGCAGACGTGAATGAGATGATGAGTGGAGGAGGGTCACAGTGAGGAACTAAAAGAAGAGCTGATTGCAAGAGATAGATAGAGGTACTGTAGGTAAGTAGTTAAAGGCTAAATAGAAGACAGGCTTTTAAGGAGGCTTCCTAAGGAGGCCTGAGCTAATTATTACCTGTTTTAGTCAGAGGATGTTCCATGGAGCTTTTTTCCTATCTTTATTTAAGAGCGTGATCTTTCAGTCTGAGAGCATGACTTGTTGAATTTATGTCCCGATTGTGTATTACTTATTATATTAGTTTTGCTACACCAGCAAGGGGAAGTCTATATAATAAAGCCGTGGAGAGCGGGGGTGGATTAACCCGGTTAAAGAGTAACCGCCCGTACGGGGCACTCTGAAGTAAAGCGGCAAGGGCAGGGTTTCGATGAAAAGTGATACACAATCTGAACATAAATTCAAACAAATTCAACAAGTCCTGCTCTCAAACAGAATGACCACTCTCTTGAATGAAGATAGGAAAAAAGCTGCGTAATTTTCAGACAGGTTTCAGAACAGGAAGTTATAGATACATAAAAGCTATCAGTGTCACTCCATGTTGTTGCACTGTACACAACAAATCAAATAGGTGTCATGTTTGGCAGATGCACTGCACATTTTCTCTCCAAATACTCCAATAGCGCATTTCACTGATGACTCCCCCTCTTTAGCTGAATGTTTGCTAATCAGTCACAAAAGCTGCTGAAACATAAACGTGCAGGCTGGAAGACTAACGCGACACATGGCTGCCCAGCCAGCACTCAACATCCTCTCTTGTTTTCGCAGGTCCAAGAACAAGAAGCCAAGATGCCAGTTAGAGAAAACCCGGACAGCTCCAATTCACTGCTCACACAAGTTCTACCTCCGACTGAGGAGCTTCATCCACCGTTTGAACCACAGATGGTAAACTGACAAACCAACATTTTCATCTGTTTAACTCAATTATATCTCTTATTTGTGTCACTGTTGGATTTTAGTTTTATTTTAACTCTGAGTGTTTATGGAGCCAAAACCAGGCCAATAGTTTTGATCATTTGTACAAAAACATTTAAACTGATCTCGAACTTTGAAAAATACAAAAACATTTTCAAAAGTTTTTTTGGGGTTTGATTCAGTTGTGAAATAGTTTTGAATACAATATTTATATTCATTTTTCACTTTCATATATATTTTGATAATTGGGGTCTTATAGTTTTCAGTTGCAGATATAATATTTTAAGATTGTCAACTCAACTGACTTAATAGTATAATGGTCGAAACATTATTGTCCCACATGTGAAGTACCTTTATATAAGTAAATACATTTTCAACCTATCAAATAGATAAAACGTGTCATTTTGACGTGAGCGACAGACAGACAGAGAGAGAAAGAGAGGAGAGAGAGAGATAGAGAGAGAGAACGATTTTTAAAACCTTTATTTTAATAACAAAATAAAAAGATTTGCATGACAATAAATACAGTTGAACGGTTAAGGCCAGTCTTCAAAACATCATAGCATAAAAAATGTTAAATCTTAATCCATTGTCTGTCACTGAACATATTGTGTCATTATAGCACCACTTTTGCACCAAGTTGCTCATTTCTTTAAAATATCTAAAATGTACCCAAACATCTTCTAGTGTTTTAAAAAGGTTATCGAGTCTTTTACAATCATAAAAACAGTGAAAACTCGTTTCTTCTTCCACACTAAACAGACACTTGCAGGAAACTGTTGGGGTGATGGTGGAGATAAAAGTGTTCACTGCTATTGCACCGAGCATGCAGGCTCCAGTCTCTTCCATTTAACAAGACTCCATGTTTTAAAAAGCGACTGATAAAAAGGAGAGAATCCACACAGGTTTAAAAACTAAAAATCCCTTAAGAACAGTGTCGTGTCTAAGCCCAGACCAGCTGTCCTCCTCAGTATGCTGCCTGTCACACATCTCCAAACAACATCCCGTGGACCTAAGAGGTATTTTTGTACAAATTGTATCCTGAATGTTGATAATCTGCTTTGAATGTGCACCGGACCTTGCCCCCCCCCCCCCCTCCTCCTTAGGTAAAAACAATACTTTACAGGCGAGCCGATGCCACAGAGCAGAAGCTACCAGGTTATTAATTATCAATGTTCTGCCTCTGAAGGATAACTGTGGCTTCAGCCATTTCCATTTGTTGGGTCTTCCTTTTATCTTTTCTAAAGCCCCCTCCCAGTTCTTCTGAACTATGGCCTCATTGCCAATGTATAGTCCAAGATATTTAAAACCATCTCTTTTCCACATCAACCAGCAGCCCTGTCTCAATCCCCTGTGTATTTTACAAGGTGCACTCAGACCTCCATTAACCTTTAGTACACTCTCAAAGTCCTGATACAAAACCTTGATCATAGCTACGAGACCGGGGCTGAGGCCGAAACTCTCTTCCAGAGGTAAAGGTGCACAACCCGGTCAAAAGCCTTTTCTAAAATATCTCGAATTAAGGACACATTGTCCAGGATAGACCTACCAGGCACACAGTAGGTCTGATCTTGGTGGAACACTTGATCTATCACCTCTCTCAGGTGGTTTGTTAGTGCTTTAGACAGGATCTTGTAGTCTGTGCAGAGAAGGGACACAGGACCTCAGTTCTTTATCTCCTGTAGGTCTCCTCTTCTTTTGGGCAGGAGAGTTATCACTGCCCTTCTGCAGCTTATTGGCAGAAATAACACATATTCGCCAATCGCACTCCAGAACTCTTTGTAAAACTCGACTGGAATCTCGTCGATACCAGGGGCTTCTCCCCCCTCTGTGCTCTGAAGGGCCATATGGAGTTCCTGTATTACCAGGGGGCCCTCCAACCCAGTATTTAAGTCCTGTGAGACTTTGGGCAGTTCTCCACAGAAGGATTCAAACATTCCATTGTTCTCAGTGTATTCACTCTGGTAGAGTTCAGTATAAAAACTCACAGCTCTCCTCCGGATCTCTTTGCTGTCTCTGATTTAGAATGGATGAGTCGGCTTCGACCATTCTTCTTCTCCAGTCCAAAGAAAAAGTTGGACGGTGCGTCCATCAGCCCTGCATCCTGAAATCGTGACCTGACCAGCGGCCCCTGAGCCTTAGTGCCCAGTAGGTCTGTAAGAGCAGATTTTTTTAGATTTGGGATCTTTAATATGATCTCAATTTCCAGTGGATTCTGCTAAACTCTGCAATTCCACAATTTCAGTCTCTAGATCCTTCATAGATCTGGTTGTTCTAGTTGACAGAGCTGCTTTTACTCAACCTTCCCAAAAGGCCACCACAGTTTTAAAGGAGTAAAATCATGTTTTCTTTCTTTAAAACCGCTCCAAAAAAATGTCAAAACATCTTTAAAATGTGCATCGGATAAAAGAGCTGTGTTAAAATGCCAGTATGCACTTTCGGACTTTAAGTTAGAGATAAACACATAGCATTAGCTGGAACAGCAGTGACCTCTTCAAAGCATCTCTGGCTCCATTTACATTCAGTGAGCTGCATTTTTTACTATTTATCTCTTGTCTAATTTTCGATACTATTTTCTTTAGTCTGTTCTGTGAAATGTGCAGCCAAGCAGAGTTAGAGAAATGTTCTTTATCAGAGAAATATTCTTCTATTTTTTTACCCCTTTATGTCTTTAGTTGTTGGGAGAAACATTTTGATTTTCCCCACACTGTAGCCTCTTGCGCTCCTATGGTTACCAGCCCTAAAGTCAGAGGATTTACTGTCAGCAGAGCCTGTCTCCATGTCACACTCAGTCTCTGCTGCTCCTCTCCCTCCTGTCCTCACTGTCCCTTTCTTTGCCTGCGAGCTTCCACTGTTGCTCCTGGTTTTTTCTTTTTAGATGAGGAACTTTAAGCACCTCCTCGTCTCCCTCCATGTCAATATCCCTGCTGACCCTCACCTGTCTCCTCCTGTCCTCCCTCTCTTGCCTGACTCCCCTGTTGGACCTCACCTGTCCCCTCTTGTCCCCCCTCACTTACATTATCTACCTGTTGGACTTCACCTGTCCCCTCCTGTCCCCCCTCACTCACCTGCTGGACCCCACCTGTCCCCTCCTGTCCAGTTCTCTTATCAGTGTCTCATCTCTTATAAACGGGCTGACGTTCGATAACATGACTTTAACCGCCAGTGTGGAGAGAGGCAGACCCCCTCCCCTGCGCTGACCGACTGCACACACACACCACCTAACACCTGCTGTACCTAAACCACAACATCTATAAACTACTACACACTACATTATATATAACATTAACAACTACTTCAAGAGAAAAAGATCGATAACTACGCTCACAAACCACAAATTGCAACCAGGTCTCAGCTCCCAGACACTCCAGAGAGAGAGGGATCAAATGGTGCTTTTCTAAAATAGGTCAGTCTGATTGGGCATAACTTGGACTTATCACCTCTTCAGTGTGTTTTAGCAGCCAAAGTGCCGAACGCGAGAAATCATCATAATGCAAAACTCATCGGGATACTCTTGTATATGGCAAGAAAGACTATTCTCAAGTTTTGGATTCATAAGGTCGATTGGACTGGACGATTGGTACAAGGAGGTAATGAGCATAGTCCCTCTGGAAAAACTGACTTATACCCTTCATGACAACATGGGAGCTTTCGCAAGGGTATGGCAACCTGTTTTAGATGTTTTGGACCCCTCTGGTCTGAGCTTTAATGTTCCTCAATAAGTGATGCAACATGGATGTCGCTGACATAGCTTAGAATTGGGTGTCAATCTGGTGGTGTGTTTATGTGTGTGTGTGTTTATATGTAAGCTTTCTTTTGTTGTATAAAAAAGTGTGGTTCTGCAGGAACTATATGTAAAGGACAATGTGTGGACTGCTGAACCTCAATAAAAAAAGATTAAAAAAAAAAAAAAAAAAAGGTCAGTAACTTAATAGGTCAGTAATTGTTTGAATTGATAAGTAAAAATTTGCAGGTCAAAAACTGCCATTAAAAAGTACTCTTTGGCATGCAGAGTGGGGAGTACCAGGATCGAACCAAAGAAGACATGACAATGATTTGACATTTGATTTTGATTAATCTACATTACCCACCAGTGGCTGCCTGCATCCGTTTCAAAACACTAGTACTTCCATAACGTGCTGAGAACAGATCGGGGCCCAGTTTACATCCAGGACATGATCAAACCTTACACCCCAGCCCGTCCACTCCGCTCTGCATCTGCCAATCAGCTTGCTGCTCCCTCACTGCGAGCTAGCCACTCAACAAAATCATGACTGTTTGCTGTCCTGGCTCCTAAATGGTGGAAGGAGCCAGGACAGCAGAAAGTTGTTTGAGGCAAATTGCACTTACTTGATTCTAGTTGTTCTGGGTTCGTACCCTCATGGTTGATGGCCCTTATTGTAAGTCGCTTTGGTTAAAAACGTCAGCTAAATTAAATGTAATGTAATGTAATACATCAAATGGACACTGAAGAAAAGTGTACACCAAAGTTACACCAACATGGAAAATATCAAAAGCTACTTTTTAAATGATTATTTTAAATTGAACCAACTTTATTCCAAGACAATGGTGTTCGGCAGACAAATTCTGTATTTGTATTTGTATAGTACTTATCCAAACAAAGTTACAAAGTGCTTCACAAAACAAATAAATCCATGGCTAATAATATGCTGTCACTTGGCACCACACAAATACAATTGAAATCGATTAAAACTTAATTATATTTGTATTTATCTTTTCATTTGATTGTTTACTGCTGCTTTTATCACAACACAGCAGCATCGCTGAGACACACAACTCTCCCACCACCACATTGCAAACAAATTGACTAGTTAGACACCAAACATTCAGCCCCTGTGTGTCCACATGGGACATGTTAGCCTAGCATAGCATAAAGACTGGAATCAGCAAAAGAAAAGCTTAGCTCCTTTAAACACAGAATTAATCTAAGGTTCATTAATGATGAAGCAAAGTAAATAGGCATAGCGTTTGCTAATTGATTCATTAATTAGCTAAATGAATGACCTTATTAACAAAGCTGCTTGTGTTTATCATATATTATGGTGAATATTATGGTTCCTTATTAGGCAGCCTCTTTTTAGTTCCAGTGGATGAGACTGTTAATTTATGAGAATTTGCTTGATTGCATCTGACTCCAGCAAAAAACACAAGGAGTTAGTCTTTTATCTGCCACAGGCCTCTGAGCCTTGAGTAGCGTTTCTGTTATTTGTTCCATTAATTCAGCTTGACGCACTGTTTATACAAGCTTGTAAAATTAGCATGAACAGACAAATGCCCTTCAGTATGCCATCAGCCATGAACATATGTCAACAGTTTTATCAAGCACTACACAGCAAAACTGAAGCAAATCCATTTTGTATTTAAACATCACACTCCTTCTGCTGATGATACTATTTAAGCTACAGGTTATTTTACATTGGTGTACACATGTTACTGTTGCGTATTGATGAGTAACGTGACTATTCTACTTGTAGTGTTCCCACACAGACAACACAAGTTCTGAAGACGACACAAGCTCATGTGAGGACACTGAGATCCAGGACTCGCCTCAGGTTGCAGAGGATTTGGCGAGTAGCAAAACTGCTACAGATCCTGTACGTAATCTTTTCCTCTTTGACTCCTTCACAACCCTGATTCTCAAACACAACATTCCTGTTGTAACAACACAGACAAGGCAGCGTGATGTAGCGAATTACCATATGCTTTATTGATTTAACATAAACGGAAATGAGCGATGGAGTGTGAAAGTGAGCGTCAGTAGTGTGTGAGGGTGTTTGAGTGCTATGTAGTATGTGCGGTGCATGTTGTCAGGTGCAGAACACAACAAAAGTAAATGCAGCAGGATGGAGATCTCAGGGATGAGTGAGAGACCGAGACAGCCCATGGCAGGGGGTTTATATCAGCAAGCCAATCAGGGGAGCCATGCACAGGAACTTCCAGCCGTCCAACAATCAGCAACCTGCAAGACACACCCACACAGCATACACACCATACACAGACAGGACACAGGCGAGGGCTGGGGCCGTAACAATTCCCAATAGGTGATTAAGTCCCTATCACTCCAGTGGTTTATTCTTGACATCTTGAAACTAATTTCTGCATTTATTATAGTTTCAAAGTGGGAGAAGTCCAGTGAGCTATAGGGGTCAAGGTTAAAAAGAGGAGTGAGAATAGGAATATTTTAATTCTTGTACAGAAATGTACAACACAATTGGGCGGAGCACAGAACCCTGTGGAACACTGTGGTTAACTTTGGTGCGCATAGATGGCTCATCATTAATTTGCACAAATTGGAATTGATCTGAAAAATCGGATTTAAACCAGTTTAGGGCGGTTCCTTAAATGCCAATTAACTGTTCTAATCTCTGTAATAAATTTTGATGATCTATAGTGTCGAATGCTGCACTAAGATCTAACAGGACAAGGACAGACACAAACCCTTGATCTGAGGCTATTAGAAGGTCATTAGTGACTTTTACCAGGCTGTCTCTGTGCTGTGATGAACTCTACCCTTCGTATACTCTTCATATATATTCCTTCTCGAGGATTTTAGACAGGAAAGAGAGGTTGGATATTGGTCTGTAGTTGGCTAAAACCTCTGGGTACAGTTTTTTGAGAAGGGGTTTGATTACAGCTAGCTTAAAGGACTGTAGTACATATGATGATAATGATAGATTGATTATATTCAGTAAAGTAATATTAATTAGGGGCAGAATAATTTCGTAGGAATGGGATCTAAGATACATAAGTGTCACAGGTCAGGTCTGTGAACATTAAATATAGATACTAACTTCCTGTTCTGTAACGTTAAAGGTGCCTTGAATTGTGAGACAATTTTGTGGTTTGGTCTCAACATTGTGTATTTAAGTACATTTTAATTAATAATTAAACTACATCAAGTTGTACTTAGTTATTGTACACCACAGGTCAAGCTTGAAACTGGGATAAATTTGCCGACAACTGATCTGATTTTCTCTCACTTAATTGTGGCAGAATGAAGACAGAGAGCAAGAGGAGCTGGAACGCCGCATGCTGTGGGAGAACGGAAAGGCCGACTACCTGGGCAAAGATGCTTTCCAAAACATCCAGAAGATGCTGGACTGTTTCCTGGATTAGAAACCCACACATGAGAAAACCTCTGTGACTACCAGTGTACCATTCCTGTCTTTCTTCTTGAGGACCGGGATTGTCTTTAATCTTCTTCATATGCTATCTTCTTTTCAACATGACAACTATCAATAAACTAAAGAGGAATCTTAATTTAAAAACCTTTCTCCCATGGAAATTATATTCTTTTCACTGTCAAGTCAAATATAAACAAATACTGAAAACCCTAAAACTAACATTGCAAAAATGAATTTCATCTTTTTTATTAGGCATCAGCATTTTCTTAAAATAACTGCTCAATCTAGTGAAACAGTATAACAGGAACCCAAATCATGATATTTTCCTAAATCTAACTAAGTAGTTTTGCTCACCATACTTATCCAATCTGTGACTTAAAACATAAAGCGTTACTTCCTGAAAGATAACCCTAAATGTCTTTCTAAAAACAGGTGAGTGTTCATTTTCCCACTAGGTGGCACTGTGGTTCTTCTAGCTGAGCTCTTCCCATTGTAGCAGCAAATCCGAGGAGCATGAATACGGATTCAAATGTTTGACTGCAGTTGACAGCACGCTGCGTGATCCTTATCCAATGGGCACATAGTGCATGTAATTTTCATAGGCTTTTGTCCCATAATGTGACAGCAGTGGAAGATACTGTGCTGAATACAAAACAAAATGTCAGGAGGTGAGCTCAGGCTCAGCAGAATTCAGGCTGTTAGTGAAAAAGCCTTGTGATGATTGTTTCTAAAGACAACCTGGCACACTGCTGCTGTTGGCCGAGCGGCTCCAGCTGACTCTGATTCATCAAGATTAAACAGTGAGTACCAATCTGGGATAAGGTTTCCGGTGTCCGCCGCATTTATCTAAAGTGAGAAAAAAGGAATCTGCGATCAGTCTCAGCAGACACTGACATTCTATTAAAAATAATCTTGTTAAACACAGCTTCTAACCCAAATGAAAACAAAAGAGAAAGTTATATCTTTATTTGGGGTTATGTTGTGTGATGTGACACCCAAATCTAAACATTTGTACATGCAATTTTGAGAATGGCACATGAAGTAGCCTAAATGTTTAATATAAATCCAGATATGAGCTGCCGGGACCAATAATGCTTGTTCTAATAAGAATCTAAAACTGTGCAGAGGAGCTGTCATAATTAACTATAAACTGTAAAATGTGGAGCTGATTTTTTAATGGCATTCGAGATATGTCTGCTTTTTACTTGTGAAAAGATTTTTGGATGCATGGGAGGCTAATACTGCCCAGTATTCTGAGATCGATGTTGATACTGCATTTACTTTCAAAACTCAGTTTCCTGGATTCTAGTAAATTAACCAAATACTACAATGTAGTGGAAGAGTATTGAAGAGCCAACATGCTGAATGACTTTCTAACATCTTGAATGGTGCAGTCGCACTGAAGCGCAATGAATCCTGGGGAAGCTTGGGCAGGGAAGGAGCCTTTGAAATGGGACAGCCTAGCTGCAGTGTTGTGATGCAATTGGTCTTCGAATGCAGCCTCCGAAGGATGCAACCTACCTTTCTCCTCACTTAGGTTGAACTAATCAGGCCACGACATTTTTACCTCCAGAGCAACTCAACCACAAAAAAATCTTATAGAATATAATCAATACTTAATGCACATCCTCACTTATGAGAGCAATTCTTACACCTCACATGACCCCACAAAGAATTTAACCTTTCTGACACAGACTATTTTTTTTTGACAGTGAGGGGCCGACACCTATATGCGATTTCAAGAAATTCCACCTTTGGTGCAAATCTCAAGGCAGATGGAACTGAATGCCACACTTGGTCAAATAACCAGAGCTCCAAGCTCTTTGGTTTAGATCAAGCACCTGGGTTCTGTTCTGTTTCCTCCCCTCTACTGTTTATTCTTTACTTTCAACATAAGTGCTTTCCCCTCTCCCACTTCTTTGAGTTTGTTTCAATGAACAAATAGTCTCGATAATGTCCCCATCTGGAACTCTTCTGTGTGTTAATGATTACACAAGCTTTCTGCTTGATTGAGTGTTTGTGATTCTGTGATTATAGTGGATGAGGCTGCGTGTGTGTGTGAGAAGGGGAAAAAAAGGAGAGAAATTGTGCGTGAGTGCAGATGTTGAAGCCAGTCCGTCCCAGATATCATTCAAGCCATGCTGCGATAACCTTCACAACCATAAAGTCCGGACGAGAGAGCATTTGTGTGGTAGCCATCGCACGACTATTTGGATTCATGATGAAAAACTGATCAGCGGTTCAACCGGTGACTTTGGATTCTAATGACCCATAATTTTTGTGATCAGGCTAATTGAGGATCGGGAGAGTAATGACAGTCAGCTGTAGAAGGGAATGTGGGGTGCACTCATTTCAAAGCTCCTGATGGGGTGGAGTTGATCCTCGCAGCAGCCGAAAGTCGACCCAGACGAGGCCACAAACCAGATTCTAAAAAAACCAGACAAGTGAACTCTCTGCTATTTAGTAAACAGATGCAATCTGAGTAACATCTGAGGTCAATTTGTTGAGATAACGGAGGATTTCGCAGTTGTTGAGGCTGGCAATGTGTCCAGATCTTGTAAATGAGCTTTAATATCTGTGAATCCTACTGAATCCAAGCAGAATAAATTGAATAGAATTCAGAACCATGATGGCCTACAGGCAGATGTGATTCCTAGAGTGGGGGGGGGGGTGAGTTTACGATACAGCTGCTCGAACCAGAGAGACCCTTTGAGAAGGTCTTGTCTCATTAATTGTAATGTTGTAAGTTTAAGGTTAACATTTTTGATAGATAATTATTTTGTGACAGGTTGGTTGAATATTGGAAGATGTAATTACCAGCAGTCAGATTTAGTGTGCACGCAACAATTATTTTGCGGGACTGATGGTCGTATGCTTGGTCTTTAAAGTATTCATGCTGTCAGCTCAGCACTGATGTAGAAAACAAGAATTTCATACAAGCTCAATTGGGTGCTAGATCTGAGCCTGATGAAAATGTTGTCAACATAACAGAAGCCACAGAGGAAGAGAGGGTTTAACTTACATTTCATTACCAAGGCATTTCCACATAACCACTGTGTTCTCATACACTGAAGCCCATGTCCTCTGATGGCGTCCTTTCAGTTTTTCTTCAAATGTAGTTTCTCTGTTGCTTAGACATGAAGTGCCTTGATGTTCAGATGTATTGATCATGTTGCTGTAGGACACAAATTCTCCACAGCAAGAGCTCCCTGGTTATGTCTTTGATTCGTCTATCAATGTGAAAATCATGGATCACAGTGGGTTAACTGAGTGATCCTCTTCCTTTTTTTTTGCATCTGATCAATATAATATATGATTATAACTAATCTCCCTGAAATAGAGACTTTTTTAAATTTTTTATGTCAGTTTCTTTAAAGGTCCAGTGTGTAAGATTTATGTGAAAGGGAACTATTGGCAGAAATTTAATGTAGAATAATCCTCATGATGTTTTCACTAGTTCATTTCATCTAAATTGTATGAACTGTAGTTTTCTTTACCCCAGAAAAGGCCCTTTATATTTAAATATTTTATATTTACATCGAGGGGACCCTCTCTACGGGGGCCGCCATGTTTTTTTACATTAGTCCAGACTGGACAAACGAAACACCTTTTGAGTTTTTATGACAACTGAAGCTACCACAGGTTATTTTTCATGATTGGAAGGAGAGGGTGAGGTGAGGGGTGTTCAGCTGCGACATGATATTTCAAAACTAAATATCACAAAATTCTGCACACTGTGCCTTTAACTCTCTGAAATCAGAGCAGATAAGCAGCGGACAATATCTCTTCATATGAACAGCATATGGCATTTGAATTCGAAAAGGTGGCTGTACTTAATACTGATGACTGTATCTTTTAGTACTGAGAGTAAAATACATTCATACATGAGGGCAATTGATGAGCACAAGATGTGTGTTCTCCAAATGTTATTAATGCAGAGTCTGGGTCACATAAAGCTTTATGCAATGGCAATGGCAAAATTCAGCACTATGTCCAGTCGGCGTTAGCTTTGTGACTGTTTATTCACATATGGAGAAACATTTATCGCTGCAGTCTAATCAGTTTTAAGGGTGGAAAATGCTAACTTCATCTGAAAGAAGAAAGCTAGAGATCATTTTTGGGAATATTGGATGAGGCAGAACAGTGTAGCACTGATTGACCTCAATGCTATGACTGTTATGATGACTGCCGGGTTTTAAAAAAAGGGGGTCACTGATACTGTGACTCTTTTAGGCTGAATGTGCTGAACTAATGGGAGATTTCCTCATGGCTCCAGATGTTCCTTCTTTCTGGAAGACAAGACTGCGGCTGCATTCCCAGTGCAATGACTGCATGTTTCTACTCTTTGTGAGTAATGGTGACCTACTTCCTTCATCCAGAATGCTAAGTTGAGCATTTTCTCAGATTTGTATCTGGTTTGTTCTCGAAAGCTGGCTAAGCAAAAACGATACAATTTGAATAAAGTCATCAGAACAGAAAAGTCACCAACATCTGCATGTTTGCTGAAGATATTTATTTTGGGCCTTTTTTAATTTATTTTCAAAACAATATACTCACTTATGAATAACTGTACCTGCCTCTGCAATAAAAAACGTTTTTGTTTTTGGGTACAAGTAGTAGAAAGGAGTGGAAATCTTATATTAAACTCTGGGAAAATTGCAGTTCGTGACAAAGACATTATTAATAAATGAGGGCACAGAACTTGCTGAAAATAGGATGAAAACATTATTAAAATAACTGACTCAGATAATGGAAAGGCACAGGATATTAATCATTATCTCAAATAAGGTCTTAAAACAGACAATCCCAGCTACATTTACACATTTTCAATTAGTTCTGTAATTAAGTTAAACAATATTTCCTAGTTAGACGAAGCTTGCCATTATTTGCCATTATCAGAAGCAACTGTACAATGCCAACAAAGGTTCATTTACTGCTCAGGATGCAGCAGAGCCAAATAATCAATTGTTTTAATGTGAACACTTGAGTGTTAAGAGTCAATGGTACCTTCCCACATGGACAATATCAATTTTGCTCTAATATGCCTTGTTTAGTGAGATCCAAAGTGCATTATTGATCGCTGAATGTAAGTGTAGCCTGTTTGTCAATAGCTGTAAATTTTGTGCCATTGCTCAATTTCTCATGAGCATGAACAAGCTAGACTCATGAAACTCCACACATAATTGGATAATTATGGGTTAATGCTTCCTGAGAAAATTTACTTGGTGTGATGGTGGCACTTTAAATAAAAGCCAAGAAAGTAAGAACTTTGAAAGGCAGCAATTTAGCAGAGAGCCTGTATGGCTTGAAATTGAAATACACCTAAATTTATTCCATAAATTAGCAAAGGCAAGGCAGAGGACAATAAAGGCCACTATGATGGAATTATTATCTAATTTGCATACTACGAAGAGCAGTAAAATTACATTGACTCTCTAAATTTTACTGCTATCAACACCTGAGACTGAGATGATATTATTGTGTCATAAAATGGCGAGATCGGTCGAAAGGATGGGGTTTAGCAGGTCATTTGCCTCATATCTCAACTATGATCGTGAGGGCAATCCGGATTTCCTACACTCAGCTGCATCTGGGACTGGTGTTTTGAACCTACACACCAGTACATTTAGTGCTTAACAACACAACCGGAATCAAATGTAGATATGATACCAGCTTCCAATGAATTACTTTTCCTTTGTTTACGGACAAATTGTTAACTCCAGTCAGTATTTCCTGATTCTTTTTGGGAAAAATATGAATAAATGTCACTGAAGAAGATTTTATTCATCAAATAGGGTCCCAAATTAATTTACTACACGGTAGACAAGATAACACCAAACAAGTGCTATTTGGTGTATAAAACTGTACTTTGTGATGATTAAATAAGTGTGTAATTGTTCTCACGTTATCTAATAACAGAACTATCTGACTTTGCTTGTCAAGACTGTAACAAGCTTGATGATGGCAAACTGTAACTACAACTATTCATGCTATTACATTGTTATTTCCAGTAACGTGGACACATTAGGTAAAGACCAATAATGTCTGAGGGGATGATACAAGTCATTAGCCTCAAGCTAAATTGCACAACGGAGGACATTGATATTTCCCAGGGATATGGAATATGCACAAAACGGGGGATATATAGTTAGCACCAAATACCATAAACTTTTGACCTCTATACACATTCAGAACAGCACTACAAGCTTTTAATCATCTCATTGTTTCATCATGGTGACAGCAGTTTTTACATTTGGATCATTAAAAACATTAGCTGCTTTTAACTAGGCAGTTGCTTGGGCAAACAAAGACAGAATGACCATGATGAACAGTGAAATTCGTCAGTACACATTGAGAAAAGTTACTTTAGAGTCTACGCCAATGGCATTCCTGGCTGTGCAGCGGTAGATACCAGTGTCTTTTTGTGTCGGGTTCTGAATAATGAGGGAACCTTGTGGATGGAGGTACTTGTTTCCAAAAAGGCGTGGCTGTGCACTGACAGCCAAGCGGGTTTTTTCAGGTGTTTCCCATGCAACCTCCACTCTTGGAATCCCTTTTGCTACACAGTTCAGCTGCACAGCAACTCCACGTTTAGCATAGGTGACAGAGGGAGGGCCATTTGTAATTTGAGGTGGGTATGCGATCACAATTACTGATGCAGAAAGCTGAGAACTTCCGTACTCATTTGCAGCTCGACATGTATAGGATCCCCGATCATAGACTGATACTTGTTGGATTGCAAGCGTCCCATTGGGCAGTACAGAGTATCGTCCAGCTCTCTGTGGTCTATTGAGGACAACCCCACTAGGTAGTGTCCATGTTAGTCTGACGGGTTTGACATTGGTTTGACAATGTAGCAATAGTATTTCCCCATTCGTGATGCTAATAGGAGAGTTGTATCTGTTGTTGATCTCTGGTTTTATTCCTGGGGACAGTGTGATTGTTCGTTCCACAAGCCCTCCAGAATTATGCCCTAGACAGCGGTACATACCAGCTTCCCCAACAGATGGATTACTGATGATCAGAGATCCATCAGGCTGATGGAAAAACTTGGAGAATCGAGCACCACTTAGCAATGGTATGCCATTGGGTAGAATCCAAGTGATGTGAGGGAGTGTTGAGCCCTCAACGGAGCAATTCAAAGTCATGGCATTCCCCACAGTCAGTGATAGGCTATGTGTTTTGGGACCTCGAATTTGTGGCCTCTCAACAACCTCTTTTACATCCAAATCGACCACCAGCCTGACCTCTCCTCCTTCATTCCGTGCGATACAAGCCAGTTGCCCAGAGTCTGTCCTCTTGATTGACCGGATTTCCAAGGTACCATTCTGATGAACTGTCATTCTGTTGCTGTAGTACGGTGCAGGAAGGATCACGTTTCCTGTTAGAACCCACATGACGCGAGGGGTAGGTGTTCCCTTTGCGACACAGTTAATCAGTTTCTGCTGATCCTTGACAGCAGTTATCTTGACAGCACTGGCAGGTTCTATTAGGCCATTGATCGTTGGAGGTGTTACTAGCACTTCCAGCCTGATGACTTTATGGTCTTGTCCTACATTGTTCCTGGCTATGCAGGTGTAGTTACCTCCATCAAAACGTTGGACCTTTTGAACCACTAATGTCCCATCATCCAGGACCTGATATTTGTCTAATGCGGAGGAGATGAATTTATTTGTAGGGGAAATCCATGTGATGACAGGCATTGGTTCCCCTTTGGCATTACATCTAAGTGTAACGGTCTCACCATAGAAAACCCGGACAATCTTTTGATCTTTATCCACGATTTGTGGTGGAGGAGTTGCAACCTTAACCTTAACTCTGACCTTCATCTCATCTTTGCCAACTTGGTTATCAGCATAACACGTGTAGTCCCCTTCTTCTGGCATACCAACATCATTGAAATACAGCGTCCCATTGTCAAACACCAGATACCTACAATAGGTATGGGGAAGGGGGAAAGGGGGGTTGGACAGGATTGAAAAAGTTTTTTTAACGTATATGATACAATATTAGTGTACATTTAAATCCTATTATACATATGTAAGAACAAGTCTCTTCTTCTTAGTAAGAGTTGTTGAATGAAGCCCAATGACATTTGGGATACAAGAAAGAATACCCAGCAAAAATACAGATTTAAAGCTATAAAATGTCAGAAAGAAACATGTTTATTTCTCTACCCATAATAGACTGACAAGTAGTATTTTCAGAATGATCCATGTGAATACAGCTAAAATATTTTTTTTCTGTGGAGGTGAAGAGTCATTCATCCTACGGTAGCATGCTGAACCTGTAGAGAGAGATTCCGGCAGTACTTTCCGTTAATAATAATCAGCCTAGTTTGAATTTGATTGTGTCCTATTTGATTAATTACAGCTCCATTGTTAGATGTGTACAGTGATGGGATATTTTAAAAAAATCAATTAGTCATTTCAATAATATTTTAAGACAGGTTAAAAAAACTACTCCCTTGTCTTAATGGTGTACAGATATAATGTAATATACTCTATATACATAATATATATTCTGGCATATACAGTAATGTGTGAGGATGGTCAAATATTCCTCAACATTCACAATAAAGACAGCTGGGATTTTATTGCAGTGGCTTTCCTGCTCTCCAAAATAATGTAATAACCACACTTATATGATTTTCTGAAATTTGCATGTCTGTCATTTATTCAGTGTCACCACAAACTACAATCTCTACAACAATATTTTATTAACTCTTATGTGTCAGTAGAGATGTAGCTCAACAGGAGGTAGACTAAGTTGGACTCATGTATACAAGCTACATAATACAGGCCACCAGCAGCTCATACCTGCGACTGCGTCCTCCACTGACATGGTCTCTCTGTTTCACTGGGTTGACCATGGTGCCATCCGGCAGTGCCCAGCTGATCTCAGGGTTGGGGAGCCCAGACGCCACGCAGTCAACCTTTAAGTCTCCCCCGTACATCACCTCCTGACTGGATCGCTGCCGCTTCTGTTCAATTTTGGCTGGCCTTGTCAGTACAGTGACCCGCAGCAGAACATAGTCATCACCTAGCTTGTTGCGTGCCATACACAGGTAGTCACCACTGTCCTTGTCAGTCACAGAATGAATGGTTATAGTGCCGTTGGGGAAGACCTTAATCCTGGGGTCAAAACTACAAAAGTGATAGAAGTATTATTCAGAGGATATTAGACACAAGCAAATATTTTAACATTTATTTGAGGATGTAGAAAAATAATTAAATAACGTGTTTTTCTAGATTTTTCTAGATTTTTCTACCTGTACTGAGAATCCACCAGCTTCTTAGAGGGTGTCCTCCAGATGATCCAGGGATTTGGCTCTCCTGTTGCCACACAGTTTAGCAACACATTTCTTCCATAGATCACATCTGTTCTCTGGGGGGATGATGAAGTGATACTGGCCTTGGAAGAGGATGGATTCTTCTTTGCAATCAAGATCACAGTTCTCCTGCTGGATGCCACTGCATTACTAGCTGAGCACTCATATGTCCCAGCATTTCCCGGGCCCAATCCCTTTATGTGGAGGGTCCCATTAGGAAAGACAAAGGGGTTGTGTCCAGCAAAAAACTGGGAAGCAGTGAGTTGTACGCCATCAGGTGTGATCCACTGAATGACAGGTTGAGGGACACCTGTGGCGGTACAGTGGATGTACACATTGCTGCCCTCTGGAAGGGTAAGGTTTTCATTTTGTGTCTGTTGAATAAATGGTGGCAATGCTGTCACATAAAGGTGGACAGAGACACTGTCAGTTCCAACTGCACTGCTGCCAATGCACTTGTAAATACCTCTGTCTGTGTAACTGGCCTGGCTGATCCGGAGGGTTCCATTGCCCAAGACAGCCACACGCTGCTGAAGGGGCATACCAGCAGCTATGCGAACATGGTTAGGGAGCAACCATATAACTTTAGGCATAGGGTGCCCCTCTACTTGACACTCCAATTCCACTTTGCCACCTAGATGCACTGTCATGTCTCTGTTCCGAGGCTGGAGCACCCGAGGATGCTGAACCAGGACCACAAGGTTGACCACCATTTTGTCTGTACCATAATGATTCTGGACCGTGCACAGGTACTGACCCCCATCCATGCGCTGTGTGTTCTTGATGATTAATGTACCATTTGGATGGACCTCAAACCTGTGAACCCTGGTGTTCTGCGCAATACTTGCCCCTGCATGAATGGAAAGATAGATATTTTAGATACAGTGTTGTCTCACACATATATATTATATTACTAAAGAAAAAAGCAGAAAAAACAATATACTCTAAGTGAAATTAATGTAATATTTTTATGGTGTGAATTTCTTTTTTGTGAATTTCCATATATTTCAGAATGTTCAAGGAGAATTACTTGATCTACTAATCATCCTAATGACTACGGTAGGTTTACTAACTTTATTTTGTTCATTTTTCTATCACAGCGTGAGAAAGTTCATGTTTGATTATTGTATTTCACATTGTTGTGTTTTTTTAAGGTTGTACATACTTTACACTAGAATCAAATGTATGTATGTCTTGAGCTGACTATCATTTTGCACAGATTACATATGTTCAGCCTTTTGAGACTTCATCCAATTAATAGAGTAGTTTGAAAACCAAATAAAAAATATAAACCTAACAACGATATAAATGGATATTCCCCAGAGTGCACGTGTAAACATTTCCATTCAAACATCTTTTATTTTATCTGATATAAGATACTGTATGACCCAATAACATGCAGCTAATAGATGCTTGATTGATTGAATTAAATAAAGTTGTAAAACAATATTATATAATTATTAGTGTATATTATTATATATTTATAATATAATAATATTATCAAAATATGATGGTAATAATAACAATATCTATAATAATAGAAATGTCTGTCAGTCTATCTTTCTTTCTGTCTGTGAAACACATTATTTCTCCATTCAACTGATCAGTTTCTCAACTCAGTCTGCATGTGTGTTGTTAAGGGCCTAAGGAAGTGCATTTATCATGATTTGAACACAGGATACATTCAATATCAATAAAATTTGAATAACCAGGTGTCCAGCACCTTGTGATCAGTAGAGCTGGGGCTTAACAGTTAGTTTGTGGACCTGTATTCTTCCCCAGAATTATCTATAGTTGTGCTTATTGCTGGCAGACCTAAAGTAATGTGATGGCAAAACTATCTGGCCTGTTTATTTTGATAGTTTTACAATATTTATTTGACCATATCAGACCGACAAAGACATTCACAGGTGTCACAGCTGCTGATGTCCATCATGGCAGGATGATTCATAGAATCACTTCCTCTTAAGCAAGTTGTCTACAAAGAATTTTTTGGACCATCATTAAAATTGGATCTGACAGACCTCTGAAATAGCCAAAATGCAGTTCATGAAAAAATAATGGCGTAAATCATTCCAACTTACATAAAAGCCACAGACATGGGCAGTAGTACAGAAAATTCTGTTTCCTTTCATGAAATGCATTCGCTCTAAAATCGGTGTACCCCCCAAAAACACAGAGTCCAGCAAGCACACAATAAAACAGTATAGGCCTGTCGATAATGTCAGAGAATAATTCTGAAGTAGGCCCGTGAATGTATCAAAGAAGCCATTCTTAAAATTACAATACATATTATTCAGAAAGAAAGCTGCAACCGGTATGAAAGGCCAAGCGAACAGCAAATTCCAAGCATTCATGTGAAGTTATGTTATGTTTATGTCAATGGTCATTTAAATTTAATAATTAATTCCATTTTCCATTACAGTGTTTGTAAAAGAGGAAGTGCCGAGACTGTTCTAAAATGTGCGTATACTGAAGTTTTGATATTGAATCATACATACCATTGGCAACTTTAGTCCATGACAGGAACGGCTTTGGCTCTCCCTCAGCCTCACAAGGAAGTTGAGCATCTGTTTCAGCTTTCACTGTGAACGTTTGGAAATTGCTCTTAGATATCCTCGGCTTCCCTCTTGAAACAGATCCTCTTCCAGGTAGCTGGTGCACTCTGGACACATCCTGAGTATTCGTAAACAGTTTCTCCCAAAATTGATTAGTTTGGATTGCGGTAATTGCTGGTGTAGGAGTGGCCTGTTTATGTATTTGCCCACTGGTGGGTTTTAAGGCAAACGATGTCAGATTGTGGTCAGGTGACTGGGTTGCAAAATGGTAGTCTGATTTTCCCCAAGGCTCTGATGTGGTAATGATAGGTTTGATTTGCTGGTTTTGAATGTGCGTGATCATAGGGCCATCCTGGGCAGTGGTCTTTGGTCCTATGTTAACTCCTTTGGAATATGTTTTGGGTGTTGTGGCATGTAACTCCTCTTTGGATGGGCTCAAAGGATCAGGACTTGATGCGGTAGCAGGGGGAGCTGTTGTTATGGTGGTACTTGCGATAGAGGGATTCACAGTATTTGCAGTTTCTACCTCTGATTCACTGCTTGGGGTGTTATGTTGACTGGGACGATTATATCTCTTTGTAACCGGTTCTGTCTCCAAACGACCCTCAAAAAGCAAACTCGGAGTTGTAGTTATGTCACTAGAAGTGTATTCAGAAGTTGCATGCTCAATCAAGGGAGCAGATGAGGCAGTTTGAGATGGCAGCAGTGAAAAATGCATCCCAGATTCTTTCTCAAGCATCTTTGCATTATCAACTTCAATGGATGTGTATTGTTTGGCATCTGTTTGCACTTTAATTGTCTGAAAATCCACAGAGGAATTGTTAGAAAATGGCACATGTCTAAGGTCTCCTGTAACACTCGCTCCAACTGTCTCTAAAAGTCTAGAAGTTGGAAAAGGTCTGCCTGTAAATGTCTGCAAAGTCGTTAATGTGAGCATATCAAAGTGCTCTAGAGATGCATTCTCCGAGACTCTCAAGGCTGTTTGAGAACTTGTCTTTCCATGACCCACTGCTGGAGAAGCTGTTGGAAATAATGGTGCTGCTGATGTGCTTTTGAATGGTGGTTTGGCAAGGGGTTGAAGGGGGTCCTTAGTTTTGGGGAGAGAAGTTGGCAGCGAGGAGGGTTTGGTGGCTGGCTCGATGTCATGCCTGGAGACTGTGTTTTCTTTATGACTCAGTCTCCCTGATGACGCTGCTTGGCCGCTGGTGAATGGAACAGTGGTATTGAATTTGGCTTTTGTAACTTCTAATTGTTCTATTTTTAGCGGTGTGGAGGCAGTCGTCCTGACTGTTGCGAGTGAAGCATTTACAGGTGTGGTGGCAGTAAACTGGGTGGGTTCATTCAGCTTCTGTTTTCTTCTGTTTGGTTTTTTTCTCCGATTCCCATTCCTTCTCCGGGAGTTAGGCTGGTGGAGGCGCAGGAGCTGTGCTTCAGTCGAACTGCTTGTTGTGGTGGGCACAAGGGTAGTTGTTACAAATGCGGTCGTAAGCATTGCTTGAGAGTGCAAATTATCAAGTGTTGTGTTCTCTGACTGAGTATACAGTTCGGATATTGTTGTAGTCTCTCGAAGATATTTTCCACTTTCTCCTTGGCTTGTCTCTGATTCATTTTGGTTGACTAAATTGATGATTTTAGTTCCACTGGAAGAATGCTCTCCATCATTATTAGAGCTGTCAACAACATTCGGTCTATTTGTATTCTCACTCCTCTCAGATGCGTGGGTCCAATCAGCTGTTTCGACTGCATTAACATCTGTATCTGTGCTATAGTTCTCTCCTGGAGACATTGTGCTGCTGCTTGCACTGTTTGTGTTCCCCTGCCAGACAGTGGCATGTAGGGGATCAGATGGGGTCTGTGAGAGGGAAAATACGCTGTTTGAAGTTATGTATTGATCCAAGTTTGTGTCATGGGTTGTGCGCGGTATGTTGTATGTGGTCTGCATTGTCTGTGACTGTGTTGTAGCATGTATGATGTGTCCGTGCTGACTGTTAGATGTGACATGGGCTCCCTGACTTTGTCTGTTGTGTTTACCAGTTTCCATTTGCGTATGTTGTACTGGAACGTGTGGTGTTGTTAGGTAATCTTGGCTCGCTTTCTCCTGCACAGTCAGGCCATCTGATGACCCTTCAATCATTTCTTGTCGCTGTGTTGTCTGCTCTATCTGTCTCCTCTCTGTTGTGTACTGAACTGGTAGTGATGTTACAGTATTTTGACTATTTCTGTCTCTAATCTTTGCCAAAATATCAGCCCATTTCTCTGGGTCTATTTTACTCTTTGACACATTAATTCTCCTCTTGCTCTCAACTATATGTTTCCTGTCTTCAACATGCGATTCTGTTGGTTTTCGAAGCACTGGTGGCCTCTGCCCAATAGTCTTTGATGGATGGATGCCCCTCCTCCCTGGAGCCACACCTGCTGGAATTCTTCTTCTCGCAATATCTTGTCGGTTAACTCGCGACATTTCTTGAGTAATCTCAACGTCCCCTGACGCCTCCTCTGGATGTATGTATGTGTTGACCCCTGAGGCTGACTGAGGTCTTGCTGGAAACCTCCTCAAAGGCCTTATGAGCCCATTGCGCCTGATAACAGTAACTTTTGCAGCCACTGTGTCCACACCATGTTGATTAAGGGCAATGCATTTATAATAGCCACTGTCTAACAACTGAGCCTGTGGGATATGTAGAGTGCCGTTGGAATACACCAAAGCTCGGAGGGATATGTCTTGATGACGAACAATGTTGTTGCTTGGGAGAATCCAGTTAACTTCAGCATCAGGGGAGGCAGATGTCGTGCAAGGTAGGGAAATGGGGCTCCCTGCAACTACCTCTGTGGGTGTAATTGAGGAATCCTCTCCGGGGGGAGGGTTGGAAGATTCCTGCACTGTTAGATGAAATGACAGAACAGCCAGGTCTCCATGAACATTGGCAATGCAGTAGTAAATTCCTGTGTCTGTGTGGCTGACAGATTTTATGACCAGCCTTCCATTACTGGACACAGACACCCTATTGTCTTGGCTGCTGTACGGGGCCTTCACTTTGGAGCCATTTGGTAGCATCCAGTGAATTACTGCTTGCCCAGAACTGTGCACATTACAGTTCATTTGATTTTGACTTCCCAGGATAGCACTTAGCACTTTACGAGTTGAATTTGTTGACTCAATTAGGACCCATTTCATTTTTTCTCTCCGCAACTGCTCAACCTCCACTTTCTCTGAGAGGTCTGTGCTGATGATCAATTTTACTTTCTTGGCTGATGATTGAAGTCTGTTCAGCTGAAGGTCAGCAGATGTTTGCATCAACCATGCCGGCTGGGCCATGACATTCATTTTTATGCCTGTATAGTAAAGGGCATCCTTCTCAGAGTCCTGTCTATAGACATAGGTTGGATGAGGTTCTTTGCTGAGCATGGTTCCCCTTTTTAAGTGGGCTGGCACACTGCTGTAGTAAGCAATTAGCCTCCACAGTCGCTCATACTTTTCTCTATCAACAGCACATTCAAGATCCACTGAAAAAGTGATATTGGAGGCCAGCTGGAGCTGGTTGACCTGCTCCCAGTTGATCCTGGTAATATTTCTTGGCATGCCAACACAACACTCCAGATCCACCTCATTCCCATGTTCATCAGACAGGCCCAGGGAGATGTTTCCAAATGGTTCCCTGAAGTTCTCTGTGGTCAAGACCTCTGTTTCAGTGTCCTCGGGTGGGGAAGTCCTGTGAGGAAAACGGATGACTGGGCTGCTGCAGACCAGGTTCTCCAGAGCCGTGAGCTCTTTCTTCTGGAGGTGCATGGGAGATAAACACATCGGACACAGCTGGCCACCAGGAAGGGCCCTGTCCTTTTTACATTTCAAAACACCTAAAGCAAAAGAAAGTTAAAACAATATTATAAAATATGAACATTAAGTAGTCTTGAATAATCATATTTGATGAAATGCTCAAATGTAGAAACCATTGGACAAAACAAAGACTCAAGGTCTGAAAGAGATAAACACATCAAGTGACTAACCTGGTGAAGTTTTATCCCAGTCATGGATCCAATTCATGTTGCAGTCACAGGTCCACGGGTTCCCATGGAGGTACAGATTTTCTAGCTGAGACATGGTCGCCACCAGCCCAGACGGCAGCGATGTAAGTATGTTGTCTGACAGGTAGAGGTGCCTAAGAGTGGACACGTGGAACTGGCCCATGAGAGTGAAGGTGGTGAATGTTGCTGGATGCAGCTGCTGAAGCTGGTTGCCTTCCAGCTGCAGCAGTCGCAAGGAGGTGAGACCCTGGAAGGCATCAGGGTGGATAAACTCCAGTCGATTGTGGTCCAAGTGTAACCTGGCCAAAGACCACAGACCCTGAAGGGTATGTCTGTTGACCTCCTTGAGCTTGTTGTAGCTGATCTTCAACATCTAAGCAATCGAGACAAAAAAAAATCATGACAGTGTGAATCTCTTCAACCCTGCCACACCCATTCCCAGACATTCATCAATATAAGACACATAATTCTGAGCAGAGGTGAAATCTACAACACATTCAAGATATTTCTAATCATTTAGTGAGCTGAGTTACTGTGTGTGTGTGTGTGTGATGTGTGATAGTTAAAGGATACTTCATCATCTCACTCAATTTAAATATCGGGTATAGGCTATTCTAATAAAAACACAGTAGGTAAGGAAGATATTTAAGGTTTTAGAATATTTTGACATTTTCTTAACAATTGAGTGTGTAGTCCAGGGCAAGGTATCAGGTTTAACTTTTGCTTTTTGAAATAAATGTTAAAAGATAGCCGTCTAACACATGATCTTGGACTCCTCTGAAAGGTCATTTATTTGGAGCACCTGTTGATGCTAGAAACACAATGGAACTATAGTAAGTCAAGTTGGACACAACCGTGTTCCACGCATTGAAGTATAGCATGTTGTCTTCATCTTGGTAAACTCGGAAGTTCATAATAACCCATAATAACCATTTTCTCCTAAACCAAACACAATTCAAACACCAAGCAACTGAATCTGCATGTCTACAAAACAAACAAACTATACATGTCCACAAAGCTGGTATCATTGATAAAGCTCTTTCATGCTAACAACACAACACAAGATTTCACAGTTACTAACAGTATCTTTCTACGACCAACACGCACTGAACTGAATAAGAGCAAGTTCACATTAAAGGGCTACATACGCTACATATTATCCTTGCATAACACTGCACCTAGATTAGATTTTAACTAAACTATAAAATAAAATAAACAACTATTCAAATGACAATGGAAAAAATATTACACAGTCTTAAAAGAGGCCAGCACGAACAGTTCCCATTTTAACCTGAGCATTCATTTATTCCAAGGTTACAGTTTTCTCGTGTGGTCGACCAGTACCTGCAGTGACGCAAGGTCCCTGAACACTCCGTCATGTAGAGAGTGGATATCGTTTCCATGAATCATCAGGAGCTCCAACTTCTGAAGACCGAGCAGTGATTTATCTGTGATCTCATGAATGCTGTTGAATCTGAAACAACAAAACCACAACAATAAAAATCAAGAGCAGATGATCCCGGGTATTTACTTCTCCTACTTTTTTTCTCACAAACAAATTATGTATTTGAAAAAGTAGACACACACTTTAAACACAAGGAAATATACATTTAACTAGAATAGAAATAATGTATACCATGTATAGAATATATCACAGAGAGCAGAATATATACAGTGCAACAGCTTGCATATGCAACCACTGAGTTATTGCATAGTTAAATGAGTTATACCTGAGTTTATAGTGCAGTACTATATTGTAGTACAGTATAGTACTGTATTACACCTGTAGCAAAATAACAAGCATGCTGAATCAATGCCAGAGACTGACCCCAGGTTCATGCGCTTCACGTATTTAGGTACAGCGTCTGGGATGGTGTTGAGTGAGCGGAACGTGCAGTGGAGCTCAGTGGGCTGGGGGCAGGAGCAGGGCCGGGGGCAGGAGACAGAGGTGACAGGGGGCAAAATCATCAGCACCAGCATGGTCTGGAGGACGCGCACAGCCGCAGGGTCCATCTTTATCCGCAGGAAGGGAACTCACAGCAGCTGTCCCTATAACAGTAGAGTGGTTTTATTATTATTATTATTATTATCGTTGTTGTTGTCTTGTTACAGCAGATGAACCTTGGGTACCATCCTTAAACCGAGAGAGGTAGAGTTTGGCTCAAGCTTCGTGTGGATAAATGGAGGAAATCTGGTCAATTAAGCACATTGCACTGCAACAGGGTTTCAGCCAAAGTGCTCCCTGAATATATTTTTAAAACGAGCAGCTTATTCACTGCAATGAAATATAAATGCTCTCACCTCAAACCCTTGATAGACTCTTTTAGAGAAGCTCCTCATATTCCTCTGCAGCATGGATAAAGAGAAAAAAGAAAAACGCGCCGCACGGTCGGATCGAAAATCGGAGGAACACTGAAACTTCGAAAACGAGGAGGGCAAAGTTGGTGTAACGAGGCGGAGAAGAAAAACCGCATGCAGCAGAAAGTAAGCAGGGATGTGATAAATATAGGTTTGCGCTTGATCAGCGTGCGCGGCGCAGCTCCGGTGAGGACTGAGTGGAGGAGGCTCTCAGGGCGCACGGTGGAGACGCAACAGGAGGAGCCACATTCTTCCAGGAGAGCGTTTCAGTGGGAGTTTCGCTGCACTTGACTGGGAATATGATACTCTGATGCAGACACATGCATATGCTGCCGAGAGTTTTAATGTTTATCTGGGGAATTGACGTCACGAACACAAATGGTTGCTACTCTTACTGTACGCGTTTCAAAATAAAAGCACTTCTGTTTAAAACGTTTTTATCGTGAAATATTTGCTGGAGCATTACTTGATGATGGATCATATTATTTTTTTTAATTCAATTTTGCAAGATGAATTGTACATTGAGCTAATCTCACTCATCTGTTCCCAGGAAATGGAGCCCAAAAATAAATATATTTATATGTGCATATGTATTGTTCCTTATTGTTCTATGTTTTAAATCATGTTTTAAAATGTCAATGTAGTGGATGTTTCAAAAATAAATGTGTTTTAACCTAACATGGCCTCTTTATTTCAGCAAACTTTATTTTTCCATTACTTTTAGTAATTAAGAGGAAGTATCTTTTCACCTATATGGGTTAATCTGGGTTCAATACTTGTATATTTAACAAATGATTCCATGAGGGAGTTAATAATAATAACACTATACAAGTGTTGAGAAAAAGTAACTCTGATTTGAGTAAGGAAGTGTTAAATTTTAACTCCAAAAAGAGTCAATAATTACATTTAATTAGCGTTACGGCATCTGAATGAGATGCAGGACGAAATCTAAGGTTTAGCAACACAGAACGCTGAACGAATCGAGAGGAATGATTGTTGCCTGGAGATGGTTATGCTTAACACTCAAGCAAAACTTTTGTTCACTCGTGGCCACAGGCTCAGACTGCTGGTTTTTGGTTTAAAGGCAGTAGCTTTGGCTAATGAGCAGTCAAGTTTTGATCTTACAGTGAAATTAATTATAAGAAAAGAAATCGTAATAATAAAATCAACACGCTGTATTTGATTATGTGCTTCTATGTAATAAACTTATAATTAAAATAAACAAGCCTATTTTGTCCCCTATAAGAACATCCAATTCATCCAGGCACTGCAAAAGATACAGTATACAGTTCTGTTTACACTACACAATATCACAAATACTGTAAATCTCAAATACTTCCTTTTTATTTCACATGGATGGACTTGTACTTAAGTATTTCCACTTTATGCTACTTCGTAGTTCTACTCCACTGGATTCGAACATTTTTCACTTCTGAAAAAGCAATTTAGTTTTGTTTAAAGTGACTTATTAAAAGCTTTTACCCTCTGAAGTTCTCAAATGCTTTGGTCCAGTATTCCACAACCAATCACAGACAGAAACAAGCCCCCACAATATCTAACATCCGTGCTTACACAGCTGCTTCAGTGTAAATGATCTAATGGTGTCAGAGAGCTTAGTAAAATGATATAATAATCTGCAAAGAGAGGCTAGCGGGGTGATGAGGGTAAGCTTCATCATCACTCCCACATGAATGCAGACACACACACACACACATCCTGCTAAACCTCTGGACAAACAGAAGGAAAGTTGAGGTAAGTTGTTGCTGCATCACTTTGTTAAAGTGGAACCTGGGTATCTGACGTCACCTTGGAGCTGACCCCAGAGTGGTTGTAATAAGACTGTATGTTGGGCTTTTCTGTGTTGATGTTGGATTTGTGTTCATCCCAGTTCTTGAAACACTACCTGCAGTGTTAAATTTGTGTCTCCTCTCCAGTGGGCTGCTGAATTCCAGCTTTGTGATGGTGTTTAAATTGGAACAACTCGGAGGTCAGAGGTAACAGTGGGAAGGTAGCGGAGGGCCTCCTGTTCCCGCTGCTGTATTGAAATCTTCCATCTGTCAGGGTGTCACAGAAAGCATAGAGCATAACTGTGACAGAGCCACAAGGGAGTGAGGTCAGTGAAGTTGTACTGTGGCAGCTTTAAGGACAGCCCATATGAAACACCAGAGGATCACGGATCTGTGAAGAATTAATATATCATAGAGCTCATGAACACAGACAGAGAAGGAGGGGACATCAGTAGGCCCAGCAAATTCTGCATCCATCAAGTGATGCTTAAAAAAGTTTTTATTCTCATTCACATAAAACCCCTAGAAATTACCTTTTGTATTGAAGTATTTTATCCCATTCTACAGAGGGAGTCTTGGACAGTGTGTAGAAGATTCTGTCAGCATGTGATCAGTAACTTTTAAAAGAGAAACGGTCATTTCCAACAGCAATGGCTATCATGGTAACTGTGGTTGTGGTACGAGGGCGATTCTCTGCTGTATGTGTATTGTAATCAATGTGGCTCAATCATTACAGGCAACTCTGAACACCCCTCACCTCACCCTCTCCTTCCAAACATGAAAAAGAACCTGTGGTAGCTTTAATTGTCTTAAAAACTCAAAAGGTGTTTAGTTTGTCCAGTCTGGACTAATGTAAAAAACATGGCGGCCTCCATAGAGAGGGTCCCCTCGATGTAAATATAAAGTATTTAAATATAAAGGGACTTTTCTGGGGTAAAGAAAACTACAATTAATACAATGTAGATGAAATGAACTAGTGAAAACATCATGAGGATTATTCTACATTCAATTTCTGCCAATAGTTCCCTTTCACCTAAATCTTACACTCTGGACCTTTAAGCTTTAAAATGTTCAAGTTGCACGAAGAAAGTAAGAAACAAAACCTGCATCGATGCTTCAACCTTAACCTAACTTGGAAAAACACTGAGCTGAGTCCAAAACCCTGTCAGCAGTAAAATGAGAGTAATCACTCAGGAGTCACTGTCACAAAAGGACAGCTAACTATCAGAATGCAAGATCACTGATTAATACTGTGCTATACCAAAACAAAGAGGATGTGACCAACTGAGAAGACCAGTGGAAAAAAGTGTGTTTAGAGCTGTGAGGTGGTGTATAAGGGGTCAAGTGAAATTTCTCACACTTAGAGAGCGTTATTACCAGTTTTGTAGTACCCCTTAGCATTTAAGTCTATGTGAGATCTTTTTTTTTGTTTCTCCTTCAAACTCTGCTCTTGGGAAACTAGGTTTGTAACAGCACAAATAGATGGTTTTTGAATAAAAAAGCTCTGCAAAACCCACTGTGCATTTAATCACAGCAGCGAACAACAGATACCTTTTATGTGGAGTTTAGGAGTTGGTGAAAACCAAACCAGAGGTAAAACAAGAGTGAATATTGGACTTATGGGCATCATTTGTCTGTTTTTACAGCTTGGAGTGTTACCGTGGTGGAAAAATTTAAATACAACTAAATTCACAGTTTCAATTAAAGGTACAGTGTGTGGAATTTTGTGATATCTAGTGTTGAATGTTGCAGCAGAACACCCCTCACCTCACCCTCTCCTTCCAAACATGAAAAATAAACTGTGGTAGACTTTAATTGTCATAAAAACCCAAAAGGTGTTTATTTGTCCAGTCTGGACTAATGTATAAAACATGGCAAGCTCCGTAGAGAGGGTCCCCTCGATGTAAATATAAAGTATTTAAATATAAAGGGTCTTTTCTGGGGAAAAGAAAACTACAATTCATACAATTTAGATGAAACGAACTAGTGAAAACATCATGAGGATTATTCTACATTCAATTTCTGCCAATTCACCTCAATTTTACACACTGGACGTTTAAGAGAGACTTACAGGGAATCAAATGAGAATATTGAAATATATAATTGTACTCACCTCAACATAAATGTTTATTGTGATCGGTAGGAAGAGACTTTGGCGCTTAGACATACGTGTACTAGAGATTTCCTGACTGAACTTTCTCTCAGCTTCATTTAATTTAAAAGGGGATGATATGTTGAGTCAACAGCCCCCAGTGGACAGAATAATTGGTTATTGCATGTTTGAGTATTTGTATTTTGTGAATAGACATAGATGGAAATCTACTTTATATATTGGAAATTTAAATTTTAAAATCATACGGTTCCTCATGTATAATTCTATAAATAATTACAACAATCTGCCAGTCCAGTGTTTTCTCTGTTCTAGATGAGGAGTGGCTTGAGGATGAGTACACCCCCTGTACCCAGCCAGCTACCATGACATACGTAGCTTAAAGTCTGAATGTGTCTCTGTGTGTGAGAGAGACCGAGTGAAAAGTCAATAAAAGAATCTGTGTGAGTATTCCTGCTTTTACACGCGCTGTAAATCAGTCAGACATATGGCTTTCATATGTGCTCGGGATGACTTTCTGTGATCTAATGATGATTTGGTTGGAAAAAAGCCGAGCTTAGGCCAGAGAGTGCCTGGATACAGTTCTGACATTACGTAAACACCAAGGGAAGCATAATGCCTGGAAAATTAGAGGGTGAAATCCTCAACATCTGCAAATGCATCCCAGGATGTTGGGTTCAAGGGTGACGAGGCAGCAGAAGGTGAAAGGATTAGCACTTCATTCTTCATGGCTCCAAACTGTTTTCAGTGAGAGAGGCAGTGCAAGGTGAAGCTGGATCCCGCACGATTTATTCACATGCCCACACCATTTCCTTCTCTAACAAGCCAAGGCAGATATTGGGAAATATAGGTGGATGACAGCAGGCCTACTCAAACGAATCCTTTTCCTTTTTTTTTACTTAACCATGATTCTTGAAAGTGGAGCACATTGTTCCAGCAGTTCAATTTCATAACTCATTGAGGGGATTTTAAATGTTCTCCTAAACCTCTTAAGGCAATGTGAAGCAGACATTAGACTGAAGAACAATTATCATCTGAGTCTGAGTTCCCTCCCCTTCGACTCTATACTCAAGATAGT